TGCTGTGAAGAGGGGCCTAGCCCATGGTGCACTCAGGAGAGTGCGGCGCTGGGAGTGCAGCAGTGCTCCCGCCATGGGTTCGGATCCTATATAGGGATGGCCGGTGCGCTCACTGGCTGAGCGCGGTGCGGGCGACACCAAGCCAAGGGTTGCAATCCCCTTACCGGTCACAAAAAAAAAGACCAAAAAAAAAAAAAAAGGAAAGACTTAGGGAATTCTTATTTTCGGCCCACAGAAAAGGCAACATTGGGGATACACGCTTATGCGGGCTGATTTATTACCTTTGCTCCAAGCTGAGATTACCCATCTGAGGAGATAAGAATCCAGTTCTGGCACATGGCGGTAATTGATCTTTTGGGGAGCTCTACTTGAGTTTAGAGGAAAGATTATCATGTTAGATTTAAGTTGGGAGCATTCCCGGTGCATTCTGAAATGTTTAGAGGTTTCTGAAGGACTGCATTTTTTGTCTGTTTTCTTCTTGATTTCATTATAAACTAGAAAAAAAAAGAAACTTCAAAAATACTCTCATTTAATTTATGGGTAGCTCTCTTCGTGGTTCAGTAGAGCAAGTTCCTAAATCTCACAGTCTTCCTTTTTTAGCAAGAGCATATGTCTCTGTGTTACATGAAAAACTTATATTAGAAAATCAATCTGGTGATGTCCCTGGGGTCAACAGAGTATATATCACCTTCTATGAGAAACTACTCTATAAATACTTTATTTGGGGAATTTAATAATCAGAAGCCCTAGATAGGCAGTTGCTTCACAGTAAATTATGCTTATATTGGGAGAGGAGAGGGAGGACATTGTTTTCTTAATACTATTTGAAAAAAATGTAGAATATTAATTTGCCAACTTACACTGACTAAAAGTTATTGCTGAGCTCCCACATGATAAATCAGAAAGAAAGATCTGACCTAACAGGCCTAGTCAGTCCTCAAATGAAAACTGATACCCACAGCAGTATCTATCATCATCTTCTCTGCCAGTAAAACATGTGTTTCCTGTTATATGGGACCAACCCTAACATACAGGGTTTGAGATTTGGTAGGTACCCAATAAATGCAGAATACATCAATATCAGTTACATTAAATACAACAATTTTATGAATCATAGTTCACGGAGCAGTTGCCAATAGTCACTTGCCTTTTTAAAGTCCAGCATGCAGAGCTTGGCCTTCTCTCCGAATTGCCACTTGCACTGTGTGTTTGCATCATACAACTCTCCCGGCAACTTCTCAGGATACTTATATTCCTTCACAGGCTTTGGCTGATCAGCAAGGCATATAGCTTGAGCAGTGCTAAAACAAAAGAAGAGACGGGGCTACCAGTGACTGCCAAAAGAGTTACTGAAGGATGTACAATCAATTACGACCTTTGATCTCATGCAATTTTACGACATCCTGGATAGAAAAGAGGGGCCATTTTTCTCCTGAGGTCCAGAATAACCTTTATCTTAACTACATTTATATACAGGGGCCCCATTTTCTGAAGTTATGCATAATACATTTTACTTTTTCCAGGAAGGTAATTTGTTCTTCATTAGATTTCTCAAGGTTATCTTAGGGGAAAAATGAAATTGAATATTTACAACCAGGTGTTCAATGTGAGAAATTCCTATTACTGACACCTTTTATGCACACTTCTTGCCAGAAGCAACCCACACATGGAAATATGCATTGTAAAAGTCAAAGCACAACCAATCTATCTAAAAGAATAACTTTTTTTTCTTTTTTCTTTCTTTTTCTTTCCTTTTTCCCCCCTATGCTGAGAGACACTTGTACAATACCTTACAGCTTCCAGAAATTCTTCATGGGACACTGGATTTCCACCAGCAATGTTCCATACTTAGGATAATTTCCAACTAGTCTCCCAAGTCAAGAAGAAAATTAATTCTGCTGAAGTTCACTAGTAGATTGCTAAAGATCAACTAATAATTCCGTCCTCCACAAATACAGTATCCCTTTCCCTACCAGGATATTCTTTGGAATAATTTATGCATTTAGGTGGGGAATATTTAAAAATTTTTGTGTTTGTAAATAGCAACTAAATTCTTCCTATAAATTTCAATAGATACCCTTCTTTAAAGAAAACCCCAAACCTGTAATCACAATAAACTGAACAATGGCAGATTTCCCCCAATTTTTGCTTTAAGTGGTTGTCCACCTTGATTAGAAGATCTTTGGCTCCAGTCTCCAGGACTCGAGTCTCAGGTACCACTGCTTTGGAACTTAAAAGTCTATGCATAAAAAGCCACAAATAACCCAGATGGGTTCACTGTGAATTCTACCAAACATTAGGAAAGAAATTATACCAATTCTCTACAATATCTTGCAGAAAATGGAAGCAGAGAGAATACTTCCTAACTCATTCTATGAGGCCAGCATTACCCTAATATTAAAACCAAAGACATTACAAGAAGAGAAAACTACAGACCAATAACTCTCATGAACATAGATGCAAAAATCTTCAACAAAATATTAACAAACCAAGCTCAACAATGCATAAAAAGAATTACACAGTACAAACAAGTGCGATTAATCCTAGGTATGCAAGGCTGGTGCAACATCAGAAAGTTAATTAATGTAATCCATTATATCAGAAGGCTAAAGAAGAAAAAAAATCACATGATCGTATCAATACATGACAAAATTTGACACCCATTTATGATAAAAACTCCCAGAAAATTAGGAATAGAAGAAAACTTCTTCGATTTGATGAAGAGCATCTACAGAAGCCCTGCAGCTGACATAATTAATTGGGAGAAGCTTGAAGCTTTTCCATTGAGATCAGGAATAAAGCAAGAATGCCTCCTATCACCAATCTTTTTCAAAACAATAAGATAAAGGGAAACAAAAGGTACATAGATTGAAAAAGTAGAAATATACCTGTCTTTGTTCACAGATGACATGACTATCTATGTAGAAAATTCAAAAAGATTAACAGGCAAACTCCTGGAACTGATAAACAATTATAGCAAGGTTGCAGGATAAAAGGTTAATATGCAAATGCCATTTGTTTTTCTACAAACAAGTAGTGAAAAGTTGGAATTTATTTAAAATTAAAGCCACAATACCATTTATATTAGCACTCCAAAAATTAAATATATAGTTATAAATCTAGAAAAATACGTACAAGACTATATGAGAAAAACTACAAAACACGTATGAAAGAAATCAAGGAAGAGTTAAATAAATGAAGACATAGTCCACGCTCATGAATAGAAGACTTGACATTGTCAAGATCTCAGTTCTTCCTATCTTGATCTATATCTTCAATGAATCCCAATCAAAATACCAGCAAATTATTTGGAGGACACAAGCAAATTGAGTTTATAGTTCACGTGTACAGGTAGAAGACCCAAAACAGTCAACACGACACTGCAGGAGATGGACAAAGTCCAAGGACTGACATACCTGACTTTAACACTTACTGTCAATTCACAGTAGCCATGAACGTGTGGTGTAGGCAAAAGAACAGAGGATAGATCAATGGAACCGGATGCCGACCCATACAAATATACTTGACTGCTGTTTGACAGAAAAGCAAAGGCAATGCAATGGAGAAAAAAATAGCCGTTTGGGCAAATAATGCTGGAACACCTGGACATCAACATGCACAAAAATTAAACTAGACACAGACCTTTTACCCTTCACAAAATTAACTCAAGATGGATCATACATCTAAATACAAAACCATAAAACTCTTAGAACATAACACGGGAGAAAATCTGGGTATGGTGAAGACTTTTCAGATACAACAACAAAGGCATGAACAATGAAATAAATAATTGATAAGCTGGATTTCATTAAAATTAAAAACTTCCTCTCTGTGAAGGTGTTTGTAAAAGGCATATCTGGTTAAGGACTATTATATAAAATATACAAGTAACTCTTAAAATTCAACAATAAGAAAACAAAAAAACAAGTCAAAAGTGGGCAAAAGAACTGGACAGGCACCTTCTCAAAGAGTACATTTAAATGGCACAAAGCATCAGATGTCATTGAGGAATTACAAATCAAAATATCAGTGAGATACAACCACACCTATTAGAATGCCTAAAATCCAAAACATTGACAACATCAAATTCTGACGAGGGTGAGGAGCACAGGAACTCTCATTTATTGTTGGCAGGAATACAAGATGGCACAGTCACCAAAGGTGTGGGTAAAAGAAAAATTATTACAGCTATTTTGCAATCTACCACAATATCCATAAGGACAAAATTAATTCTGACTTTGCTTCATGTCATACACAAAAACCGAGTGATCTGCATGTGATAAAAAATAAACAATAAAGCTTGTAGGAGGTCATGTGGAAGAGTATAAGAGATAAGCAGAGCTTTTTTATTTTTCCCCCCAACAGTGCACAAAAAGCACCAAACCTAAAGAAAAAAATATGAATAATTTGGGCTTCATTAAAACAATAAGAACTTCTGTTCGTCAAAAGACACTGTTGAAAGTGTAAATAGTAAATCACAGAGTGAGAGAAGATATTTAGAATACATATATTTGAGAAGATATTTATAATATATGTATTCCAGAACAAAATGGTCATGGAATGCATAAATTACTCCCGTTACTAAATAAGAAAAAAGACAGAAAGCCTAATTTCTAAAAATGCACAAGAGATTTGAACAGGCACTTTACTGAAGAAATTGCTCGAGAGGCTATAAAACATATAAAAAGGTATTCAGTCTCATTAATTACCACATTTACATGTCATTATATACCCGTCGGAATGACTAAAATGAAAAATAACACAAGATCAAGTGCTGGCATGGATTCGGAGCCATTTGAATGCTCGTAACTGCTTCTGGCAGCACAACTTTGTACAACCACTTAGGAAATCTGTTCGGTGGTGTCTACTAAAACTGTACACGTGTATGGCACATAGGATACTCCACTCCCATGTAAACTCAGAGATTCATATGTTAACCAGCAGAATATTCACAGTAATATTCCTTAGAACAGCCAAAAATTGAAAACTCAAATGTCTGTCACTAACAGAATGAATTAATAAATTATAGTATACTTATACTACAGAGATAAGTTAACTACTGCTATATTTATATGCAGCAACAAGATGAATCTCATAACCATGAAATAGTGCATAACTAAAGATTTCAATCATAGAAAGTTCAGAAACAGGCAAAACTAATCTACAGTGGTCCAGATCAGGAGACCAGTGGCCTTCGGGAAAGGGAGAGGTGGTGGTTGGGGCAGGGGAAGGGGTTTCTGGGGTGTTACCATGCTCTCTATCTTGTTCTGGGTAAAAGTTACACTACTACGTCCACTGTGTGGAAATTCACTGAGCTGTGCCTTGTAATTTCGTACTTTTCTGTATATGCCTATTATTGTGCCACAACAAAAATGGTGTTTATGAAAATAAGGTAAGGTCAGAAGTAGCACAGCATTTCAGAATCCGTTCCCAGTCTAATGGATGGGCCATAAAAGGTTAAGGAGCTTGAGAGATATTTTAGGTGTATCCCCTCATTTTCCAAGGAAGAAAACGGGGGCCCGCAGAAATAGCTCTATCACTCGCCAAGGTCAAGACCTTCCCAGCCATGTGCAATAAAAACGCAATCAGTGCATGGGCTGGATTCCCTGTGCTTTCCTTCCACTATGCCACAGTGCCTGTTCTCCAGAGCATCAGTCACGTGGGCACTGCAGAAACCACAATCAGCCACGATTTGCTTGTTTTCCTTAAGATGAACATTACACAGCAGAGCAAGATATGAATCAAAATGCATTATTTCCATTTTGTGCAAATCCACACTTAATCGGCTCTCAGGTGAAACCATAATTTCTCATCGACAGATCTAGTATGGGGTATGGCACCCCTCAAACTCCCAGCTCCCTCTGACAGTCACTTGTCTCCTGTATTGATGTATGTAGATTCATGTGGTCAGTGAGGAAACATATTCACTGATCTGTAGGACGTGATTCAAGTTTTTAAGAAGTGAAGATGAGTCCATGTTGTCATTAAATTTAAAATAATGAGCCAACATTTCTCCAAGTCATAGGCCATCCAGATGCAGACATGAGTAACTGTGATGAGGTTTGTGTCTGTTAATAGGAAATGACACATGGTCTATTGACTAGGCTGATGAATTTACTCCCAGCAAGTATTTGTCCTTCCAGACTCTACCGAGAACAGAAGAAAGTTGTGCTGACAACTGCAGGCCAACTGAGTTCCCTTATTATGTGTATTTTCCGTCTACCAAATGCTAGATGGCCAATAAAGGAGAGCAGACTCATCTTTAAAAGTTAGCCATTTATTTATCCTTATTCATTGTTGGGACCATATCCAAACAGCCACGCAATTGGTGGAGAATATAACAGTATTTTGATTGCTTGGAAATCAGGAAGTCAGAGAAGGCAGTTTGAGATCCATTATGTCAGTGAACGGTGGAGGTTTAACACACTGGAGAAGTGTCCAATTTGCAACTGGTTTTCAATTAAAATAAGCCTCAGTAGTGAATTTAACAGCAAGAGCTTTCTTGGAAAATTTAACCTTTCAAGAAAATAAATTTGTGAGCATGTAAAACCTTGCATATTCATTTATAACTGGTTTTCAATTAAAATAAGCCTCAGTAGTGAATTTAACAGCAAGAGCTTTCTTGGAAATTTTAACCTTTCAAGAAAATAAATTTGTGAGCATGTAAAACCTTGCATATTCATTTACAATCATGTCATGCAAGGAAATTAGTAAAATCCTTGAATATAAAGGTTTGAATTGCTACAAAGTGTTTCACTGATTAGCACAAAAACAAGTCAGCATACTTCAGTACATGTTTCAGCCTTTCCAGTATCATAGAACAAAAATGGTTTTTAATTCCAAAATCTTAATAATCATTCTCAGGACTATATTTTGATTTGAGAATGACAGCCCGTTTTCAGTGCCCTCAAAATAATTCTCTAAGCATGTAACTATTTTCTTTCCATGAATCTTCCTATATTTCTTGGCAGTTTTAAAACTTTTTTTGGACTATTTCATGATGCTGATTCTCACTATACACCCAAATTTTAAACCCCTCATTTTCCAAGTTGTCAGAGCATATTTCAAAAATATTAAAAATGTTTATGTATCTTCCTCATAACTAGTAAGATGAAAAGGCAATTTTTAAAAATTCTGAAAGAATATGGAAAATTATAGAAAAGATTTGGGATGTAGAAAACTCCAAATTTTTCTTAATACAAATAAGAGCATTGTGAACCTAAAGTGAATGATCTTCTTTATTACCAAAAGCAGAATTCTTCACATACACACTGAAAAAAATGTGAACAGCTGCAAGAAACAGCTAAAAACAATGCTAACAATCTCTAACTTGACTTCATGAAAATACCATCCAAGAAATTACAAATGTTAAATGTACCCCCATGTGTCATGTCGGTTGTAGGATAATATTAGCATTGTCTTTTTCAGCAAGAGAAATAAAATTTAAAAAATGATCAATTGCATATTCCTAGAGTACAGGTTTATATCACCAGGATACAGATATTCTCCACAGAAGTCTCACTCGTGCTATGGCATAAAATATGGAAAGCAGTCATCATTTCTTTAGGTGGTGAAATATCTTGACAGAGTTTTCAGAGTAAGAATACAAGGAATTTCTTAGCTAAAGGCATGGGGACCCTAAAGTCTGGTGATCAAGATGCTGGCTCAGAAGGCAGGCTACACAGTCTTCTGGAGGACTGCAGGAAGGCGCAGGGAAAGGAGGTACGCCAGCCACCGTCACTGCTGCAGGTGGGACTGGGGGAGGCGCAGTCCATTACATAGTAAACAGGAGTAAGACCGACAGAAATACTAGCGTGATCCTGCTCAAATTGTGTTCTAGAGACAAGATAAATTAACACGTACGGCAGAAAAATGAAGAGTGCTAATAAGAAAAACATAAATAAATGAAAAAGAAAAAAAGAAAGCAAAGAGTATGTAAAATCCAAAGTAAGGAGCTCAGTGAGACAATCTAGAGATGCCAGTTGAACCCTGAGTGGCATTTACATGCATCTTAGGCAGGAACACTTCCTCCTTATCTTAGTTTGGGACAACTAGTACGTAGCTTTGACGACAAGCACATACGAGTTGCGAAGCCTTGGGAGGCAGACAGGACCGGATGCTGCCAGTCTGTCTTTCTTCCCACTGTCTCTGGTAGGATCTCCATGGAGGTTGTGTCATTGGTACAAGCACATACGAGTTGCGAAGCCTTGGGAGGCAGACAGGACCGGATGCTGCCAGTCTGTCCTTCTTCCCACTGTCTCTGGTAGGATCTCCATGGAGGTTGTGTCATTGGCGTCTCATATGTCTAGACTCATCAAACTGTATGTATTAAACATGGGTAGTTTTTTGTACATCAATTTTACCTCAATAAAGCTGTTATTTAAGAAAAAAGCTTTGATTCCCTCCAAGTATTGGTATTTGCCTTATTTTATAATAATAGGAACAAACCATGTTTCCTTTCGTGGCAAATTGCAAGCTTCACATCACAACTAGATAGTTCCTTAGAATCTATGCGTTTGTGGCCCTTTCTCTGGTCTTCATTTCCATTATTTTCATTTGCTTTTCTTTATCATCAGCTTTCAATTGTACTAATTATTTTGTGACTTTTTGTGAAATCTTGTCAAAATCCTTAAGGTAAGGTGGTTGTGTTTGTTAGCTTTTTCCAAGAATATATCATTAAAATAGGAGTGATAATTTCCACATTTTCTTTGACAAATCTCAGAAATATGTTTTTTTTCAAAACCATTGTGAATTAATTTGAGAGCTAAACATGGCAGCCCATTTCTATTATTTCCCAGAGTTAGTGTGTTTTGAAAATAAGGAAACACACTCTTGGTATCTACTAGACCAGAATCAGCAGGCTCCTGTGCGTCGGTGTGTTTGTGAGAGAACGAGCACAATTCTTCCGTGTGTCTGTGTAACGAGCAAACGTTTCCTTCACTGTGAATAAGAGTAGGTCTTTCTCCTGGGGCCAAAGAAACAATAATATTGTTTAAACAGCAAAGGTGGAAATTGGTGTGTCTTCCATGACAAATAAAAGTATCAAACCACACTCTGTGCCAGGTGCTGCCATTCGGTCCCAGAAGAATATGTTCAGAAGGGAAGGAAAGGAATGTTGAAGAGTTTATATGGGTCCAAAACATGGTGTGCTTCTAGAACTCATGCATGTAGGCCCAGTGTACGCCCTGTCTGTGCTGTTTCTCACAATCAGCCATCTTCAAGAGATGAGACACTTTCTAAAGAAGACTTTCATTCATATTTTGCTAGTACTTGCAGGTAAAAATAAAAATAATGTCTGATTGCAACAGAATTGCATTTCCTCTGCTGGCTGCATCCATCGCCCTTGGATCAGTGAGGGGAGGTCAGCTCTAGG